AAAGCAACGTGACTCACTCCTAAAATGATACGGCACAACACCGTGACTCGCTCCAGTAACGATGCAATACGATGCGTTTCACTCCACCTAGCCCGCGATTGAATCCAATTACAATGTGATGATAGGATTTACTCTAATTAAGATCCGATAAGAGTCGCTCCAATTACCACGTGATACGATTGACTCCAATTACGATCCAGTACGATGCCCTCCAGTGACTAAGTACGTTTGAGGCGTGACGGGGTTCTGATGACCAGGACAGGCCTCGTTAGGCGAAATAAGCCCGCCGCTCTTCGGGGGCGCCAGACTCCCCTCATTACGCTCTAAGTGGCGTTCTCTTTGCATATGCAAATATGGCACACCCCATCATTAGTTTCCATATCTGCTCTAATTTCTTTTATGGCCAAACAGACGTGATGCCAAGGGCAAACGGTGACTGGCCGTCGGCCATCTATCAAGTGAGTGTCGCCTCTTGTTCGGCGTGGCGCTTTATGAGGATTTTGACGGCCGGGGACGGTCACGCGTATGAATGTCACGCCCGCGTACATCAGCGAACAAATGCCTCGGACCCTGACATTGTATGGTCAGAGCGTATGGGGGCGGGGAGGGGATCCATAATGGAGCAAAGCTTCCTGACGAGGGCTAATTGGCCAAATGGAGTCACTTAGGCAGAACAACAGTCCCATCACATAGATGAGGAGGAGGAAGAGGAGGCTGCCAAAAGATCAACTTTGGAGCCCGCTGGCCTCCAGACGGCATCCTTCAGCCCAAAAAGTTTCAGCAAAGTGGAAAAAGTCTCACTAACGAGTGGACGTTTTGTTTTTGGGAGAGTCTACTGAGAACAGCGCAAAGCATTCACTAACATGGCTTTGTCATAAGTCACACATGTCGTAAATTGACGAATGAATAGGTCTCGGAATAAATAGGTAATTTAGGTAATGCAGGAGCTCATCAACGAAGTAGTAAGTCTGGTCGCCCGATATGTCGGAGGCCATGTATTTAGTCAAGTAGTCGCTCATGTCAAAGGGTGATGGGAGAGCTCACTTTGCTGCTGGTGTCCTAAGTCATTCAGATAATGCTCATTTCCAAAGAAGTAGTTCTTGTTGTAGCCTAGATCGGAGATCATGGAGTAGTTTGTGTACCTGCTATTGTAGTCGCAAATATATTTGGTCACATAGACCTCCTTTTAGTCATGTAATCTACTATTGTAAAGAAATATGACTGTTGTAAAAGACAGCAAATAAGTGCACAATGACTGTTGTACAATTTTCAAAGAATTTGTAGATGATAAACCTGATGAAATCTGAGCCATCATCGTGGGTCAGGGTCTCAGCCCCAAAAAAGGTGTCTCCAAGTTGACCGATTGACTTCAAATTTGGCAGAAGCCGAGCAAAATATCTCATAGATGTGGACATTTGGGTTTGAAAAATGGCCGCACTCATGCAAACGTTGTAGCTCATTTTTGTGGGTGGAGTATATCGTTGAAATCATGTAGTAGCCAATTCAAGGTGTAGCCAAGTTGAGCCATTCTGTGGCTCATTTTTGTGGGTGGAGTATATCGATCGTTGAAATCATGTAGTCGCCAATTCAAGGTGTAGCCAAGTTGAGCCATTCTGTGCTGCAGCCACACGTGCAGTCCCAACATTGCCGATCATGTAGTGCGTAACACAGCGGCTCGTGCATTTTCTCGCCACTCATCCCCCAAACAAAAGCTCTTTGCCCGGAGTCCTGTCTCTGTTCCGCGTTTTCAATGCCGGGACGTTTCTTGCGTCAAAATTGCTGAGCATCGGCCGCAGCCTCCTGCACTCGAACAATGAGCACAAAATGAATCTTTTCATGCATTTTTAACAAGAGCGAGGCAAGTTTCTCCTCCGAAGTCAGCGTCCAGACTTGGGCAGTCTCCGTTCCGCATCCGGCCCGAGTGGAGATGTTTCCACCTCCTCATCCGGGCCCTTCGTGTTCCTCCTATATGGTGTGCCCATGTCAGTCTGGATTTTATTTCAAAGACCAAACAGGCTTGTGAACGCCGTGCAGATGTTCACGTTTGACTCATAAAAGCTTTATGACTGCAGGAGCTCCTTGAATAGCAAATGCGAGCACTTGTTGGCATCTCTCGGGCGGGGCGGGAGAACCTGCTTTCACTTGCCTTTTGCACGGAGCTCGCAAGAACCAGATTAGCGTCGATGACGGCTTTGCAGCTTAGCACGTTCAGATGATTAGATGCACAACAACGGCGTAATGAAAGCGGCCATTGCTTTTGACATGAAGCGGCGTGGCAAGTGACAACGGGGTGATCAAGTTCACACTCGTCCTGGCAAAATTCATCTAGTAGCTCATACGGTGGCCTACATAGTACATCACGTAGTAGTTCACACAGGTGCATTCGTAGCTCATTTAATGTGTCACATACTGTCGTAGCTTGTATACTAGTCCATGACTCGCATCGTCGGGCAGATCACGCTGAGGTTCATGATCATAGGTCATGTTGTAGCTCATGTAGTCTGGCACATCTGGCACATCGCTTACTGAGTTCACATAGTAGCTCATGCTGAAGACCGTGTAGCAGCACATGTACTTGTAATCATGTAGTATGTCTCCTATAGTATGTAACGCAATAATTCATTGAGTTCACAGAGTTGTAGATCACGGAGTAGCTCAGGTAGTTGGTCATATAGGTTACATCGTCTCTCGTTAACGGTCGGTAGGACATATAGACAATGTAGTAGGTCACGTCGGAGTCCCAGTAGGTGGCCATGTTGGAAATGTAGCAGGTCACATAGGAAATTGTACAGGAGGTCACATTGTAGGTCATGTCGGTAAAATAGTTGGTCATGTAGGTCACGTAAGTAATGAGTAGCACGTTTATGTCATAGTTCTCGTAGCTGGTCATTTACTAGGCCACATTCTAGGTCGTGTATTGGATCATAGTATCTCAGTTTGGGTACCAGGTCCCATAGTACCTCGCATTGTTGGTCATATATAGTGAGTCACGTACCGAGTGAGAAAGTAAAGTCTCTTGCCCGCTATGTTTTCAGTGTTCACGCTTACTTCCCAGCCACTGCCCCTGTGGGACGCCAGCACATCCATATGCGGGCGCCCGTTGTGGGCCAGCACGTTCCTCCGATTCCCCCCTGACTGCCAGATCTCCTCAACAATCATCCACACTCGGCTCCTCCACAAAGCGTCTCTGCCGCCTGCTCTGTTTTCTTGGTAGAAATGTCCCCTGGTGGCTGCTACTCGGCAGGTTAGACTATGCGTCTGGATAATGAAGCCATTTTTCACTTCAGCTCATGTAGTAGGTCACATAGTTGCTGATGGGGTCGGTTGTGCATGTCACATAGAGGGTTACTTATTAGGCCATGTTTTAGGTCATTAACTGGGTAATGTAGTTGGTCACAAAGTCAGACTCAGGGTAGCTTGAATATTATTTTGCATAGTAGATTGTATGGTTGGTTCCATAGTAACTCACATTGTAGGGTTACATAATAGGTCATGTCATGAATGGAGTACTTCATGGAGTTGGTCATCGACTAGTTAAATTAGTTGCTCCATTATTAAGGTAGTAGTTCATATATACTGCGTCACATCGCATTTTGATTGATTTTATTGATGAGATGTAAAACAAATATTGAAAAACAGGAGAGGAGCATCAATGGATGTTCAGCACAATTTACTCAGTAGCTCAGTAGTTTACTTAATAAGTTATGTACTAAGTAGAGCACAAATAGTAGGCCACGCCCTCTTGTAGAGTGGGTAACAGAGATGCCGTAATGTTAGGATGTCACACAGGTGAAGTTGTAGCCTACTTACCAAGTAGGTCATGCTTATGTAATCGATCACATAAAATAGTCATGTAGTGGGACAAAAAGTAGCTCTTGCAGTATGTCCCAAATGCTCATGTCGTCAGTGACATTGAAGTTAATGTGACATCGAAGCTCATTTAGCAGGTCATACCTCTATAGTATGCTATTCTTTGGTTGATGTAGTAAGTCACTTAGTAGCAACTATTGGACGTGACCAGGTCTTCATGTAGTAGGTCACTTAGAAGGTAACAACATTGCCGGCGTGATGAGAGGAGGACGGAGACGAATGGAAACACAATCAAGGCCGAGTGGTGTGTTTGAAACGGGGTGGCCCCCAATAATCCGCAACATTTAGGAGGGGGAGCATGTGTCCCGCTAGCAGCTTGGAAGAAGATGTGGTTGCAAGCGGATTGAGAGATTTAGCGGCCGTGTTTGCGCCGTGCTGGTGTGGCCCCAAGTCTGGCGGCTCTCGTCGGAATCAATGCCTCATGAGGGCTGAGTGTCCAAAAGCAACAGTTTGAGAAGGTGTCATCGTTCCCATGGTTGCCCTCGCGGGCCGTTATGAATGTAATGTAGTAGGTTCTTTCGGTAATGAAGTAGCTCATTTTGTAGTTTGTAATGGATCAGCTTTTTTTTTTTTGCTGGAAACACGAAAAACTTTGCACTGGATGGAAACTCTTGTTTTAAACAGTACAGTACAAACAAGATTTGAAACCCCAAATCCATGCTAGTGAACCGACTTCAAAAGTGAGACTCCAAACAATAATTTTATACCCTACACCATTTGTGTCCAAAGTCGGTCCTGGAGGGCCGCCGTCCTGCCTGTTTTCCAGCTGTAACACACCTGATTCAAATGACCAGCTCATCAACCAGCACTGGAGCAGCATTAGAACAATCCGGATGATGTGAATCAGGTGTGTGACTTTTGGAGACGCCTGCCCTACACTGAAAACGGTGGGTAGAATTTACTCAATATTATTTTTCCAAATAGATTGGACCGAATAAAATCATTTGGATCCAGATACAGTTTTCAGGTAGATGATACATCTGCTGAGAAATAAATGCATCTGGTTCCAGATGATGTTGTTCAGTGCAACAACTTGACAAAATAAAAATTCCACATAAAATTGCTCTGTTTTACATTTACGAGAACATTTCCACCACTTCACAATCACTCCTGCAAGTCTAATCCCCCCATCCCCATGACCCACCCGCGCGCGTATATACGCGTGAACATACGAATTCAAAAATGAATCCAGATCCGACAAACATGTCAACGTGACACCTGTGAGCCGGAATACGGGTGCCTGCGCGCCGGGAAGATGCGGCGAGAGGAGCTGTGCGCGTCCCCGTGATGTAAGAAGCCCCGCTTTCCGCCCTCGGGGGCGCGCGCCGGTGAGAGAGCGCGGAAGAAGAGCAGGAGGCGGACGCAAAGTTCTCCCGAGCAGAACAGAAGCCTCCTCGAGCGTGCCGTCTCTTCGCTCCGCTCTTTGATCAGTATTTGGTCCATTTGGACGTCGGAGGATTTGCGGCGGCGACAGAAGTGTCCCGGGAGGCGTGCGACGAGTGCACCCATGGGTGCCTCAGCAGATTTGGCGCTCCGGTGGTGAAAGGCGCTCGTCATGATTTGGGTAAGCCTTTTGCCGCTTTTGCTGTCGTGCGCGCTCGCCAACCGGACCGCGGAGCCGGCGCCGGTGCCCTTCTTCCACGGCCATGTGTTCGAGAACGCGTCGCCGGGCTCCCGGGTCAACGGGCTGAGCGTGCCGCTGCGGAGGCTGAACGCGCAGCGGCCGTGCGGCGGCGGTGACGGCGGCGCGTCGGAGCTCGCTCCGCAGCCGCGCTGGAGGCTCTTGGGAGACGGCGGCGACAAGTTCCGCGCCCTGGCGCACCACAACCGGGGTCACATCCTGCTGAGGACCTGCGGCGTTCTGGACCGCGAGGAGCGGGCTGAGTACGAGCTGGGGGTCGGCGTGTGCTGCGGCGGGTCGTGCGTGGAGGTGGCCTCCGTCAAAGTGGACGTGCTGGACATCAACGACCACCGGCCAACCTTCCGGGACGCCGACGTGAGGCTCAGCCTGGACGACGCCACCCCGCTGCGCACGGTTGTCTCCACGGTGACGGCGCGGGACGGGGACAGCGGCAAGAACGCGGAGCTCTTCTACTTCGCCAAGCCCAAGAACGGCACCTTCTACGTGGTGCCCAAAAGCGGCGACATCCTCCTGGTGGACTCCATCCTGGGCCGGGACGGGCCCATCAAGTTCTCCGTATTCGCCCGGGACCGAGGCTGGCCGCCCCGCACCAGCGACGCCGTCGGCGTGGAAGTCACCCCGCGCCGTTGGCTGCGTGGCGCCCGTCAAAACGCCCCCGCCCGGACGCCCAGATCCGTCCAAGACGCCGACGACGGCAGCCCGCTTTTCATCAACGTGTCCGAGGACGCGGGCATCGGCTCGGTGGTGATGAACCTGAACCCGGTGCGCTTCCAGGCGGCCGCGTTCGAGCTGGTGGAGCCCGACGACGCGGAGAGCTCGCCGGTCAGCGTGGGCAGGGACACGGGCGAGATTGTCATCGCGAGACGGCTGGACCGAGAGACGGAGCCGCTGGTGGAGATCGGCGTCAGGGTGCACGACAAACGAGGTGAGAGCGAGAGGGTGCGTGCGCTTGAAGGGGCGTATTGCGCGCCCTTGTGTGTGTGTGTTTGTGTGTGTGTGTGTGCGTGTGTGTGTGTGTGTGTGTGTGTAAGCGTGCGCGTGGGCTCGCGCGCGAAGACCCCCGCTCCCCCACCTACACTTTCCAAAATAGGCACACAAACATACACTTTTACACTTAAACAGCTGACACCTTAAACCACATTGCGATTTCCTTTTTAACATGAACATGCATTTGAAAGATCAAAACTATGTAGGAAATTTTTGGATTTTTTTGATGTTCCATGGGTGAGCTGAACCTTCCCCGACCTTCTGAATGTCCCCTTTCTGCCTTCAATCCACCCACACTTTTCCAGCCAAGAAACAAATCGATTCCTTTTAGAATGATCCTCTTGGACGTTTTTTCACAGATCACAGAAATGATATATTTTGGTCATTCATGATCACATTTTTGAGTGTCGTAATGTAAGGTTCTGATTTTAAAAAAATGGACCCTGTGCTCTTCCAATTTGAGGAATGACTTGAATTCATGTTTTGATTTAAAGCATGTCAGTAAACAGGCCAAAATGTTGAGTGCTTTTTGTAAGCACGCTGATGTCCGCATATAAAACTGATCATATGTTGGCATGGCGGTGCAATATTTACATTTGACAGGCCCAATTGGGAGGATTTGGGCTTTTTTTTTTAAATTGTAAAAATGTCTCTAAACATTTCCTATTGCATTTAATTTTGTGTGCAAGAAAATAGATGGCAAGGATGACATTTTACTGTTTTTTTTTCTCTGAATGTGTGTGTGTGTGTGTGTGTGTGTGTGTGTGTGTGTGTGTGTGTGTTGATTGCCATTGTGCATTCATCTGGCTCCGAAATGCTTTGAGTCATTGTTTTACTCAACCGGAGTTTGACAATTTTGCTATTTAGTTTCTTCTGCTGTGACGACGAGGTAGCAATTGAATGCCAGACGATCATTTGCTCTGGAAAGTTGTGCCCCCCCTCACCTCCCCTACCAACCACTTCTGAAATTATGCTTATGTGCGCCCCCCACCCCCCTTGTGTATCCGCGTGTGTGCGCAATGGATACGTAAAAATGATCTTGTGATGTTTGTGCCGAATGCTTGCACGAGCGATTCTATCAACACATTTTCGGCACGCCACGTTGAATTCTTTAGAGAAGAAACACTTGGATTAATAAGAGCGTTCCTCGCATGTAAGAGCATATTTGATGGGTGGGGGTGGGGGGGGGCATTGCGTTGGAGTTGATTCTGCGGGGAATTTGTCCAGGGGAAAAAAGGAAAAGTTTTTGAGTTTATGAAGAGACTCCCTCCAACAATGTAGCCTCCGCCGAGACTTCTTTGTGTTGCATATTGAAATACGAGCGTAGAAGTTGGATGTTAGTCCGTGTATTATTGCTTTGTTGCTTTCCTTTGGCAGCTGGGAAATGAAAAAGTGATTCATCATTTATCCGTTTCTAAGTCTAACATGCCAAGAAGGAAGATCAGTCAACATCTAGTATGGCGTTGTTTGGTGGCTAGTGGTCGCGTCCAGACGGATGTGGCGCTTAGCAAGCTAACATCCGCTATCTTTGCTAAGACTTGTTCACAAAAGTCCAGCTCCCGTCACACGGCCAATTATGAATTCTATCTTAAAATACAAACTGTCCTCGAAGGATTTGTTCTAAATGTAGTGCCCGTGAAAGTTAAATGCTTTTGAATGAATATTTAAAATAAATTGTTCTGTACTTAAATTGTACCAAAAACTGAAATACAACTGAACTGTACTTAACTCATGTACCTACTGGTTAAAAAAAAAAGTTCAGGCCACTGTAGCATTATACAGTTTGAATATTGAATTCAGTGATTCTTTGGAGAAACACTAGAGGGAGCCAGTAAACCACATTTTCAGAATGACGACACATGGAGGGTTGAAGGTTAAATGACTTGATCTAATTTTTTTCTTCTCAGAATACAAGGTGTCATATTATGAGAACGAAATCGAATTTTTGAAATGGTTGACTTTCTTCCCTTGTTAAACTTTGAATTCAGTATCATATTAGAAAAAACTTGGTGGTGTAATATTACTTGGTGGCGTAATATTACAACTTCATTTCTATACACACATGCACACACACACACACACACACACGCTCTGGTTGGTCAGAGCAAGAAAGTTGATGAGCAAAACCCACATCAAAGAACAGTTGGGTGAAAAAATAATCCAAGGTGGGGCCGAATAGGGAGCAATTCACAGACTTGGGTCAGTTTAACACATTTTTGGGTTTCTTTTGCATAAAACAACGCTTGGTCACATTGATCAAAGTAACGGGTCAGTACCTTTTTGACCCAAATTGGCAAATCTTTGATCCGGCTCTTATCGGGGCATCTGAAGGGATTTGCACACCTGAGTACTTTTCGATACTCAGCATCTTGAGTACAGTATTCCATTCAACTGTTTCACATCGTTGTCCTCTTATTGGCTTGATATTGACAACGCGTTGCTCCAGATGATGTGGTACCGTCGCATGCAGTGATTATTACCATTTGCTTTGATGGTTCCTCTCATCGTGATTAAATGGGCCACAAATGGACCATCGGCCTGGACTTCGATGCCATAAAGAACCAAAACCAAAAAAAAAAAAGAAGGAAAAAAGCTCTTGGCTCATGAGGAGTTTGGACTGCGGTAGTTTTGATTTGTGGATGGCGGCGGGTCTCGCCATTCACACCTTTGGGTGCACTTTGCTTTGTGGCACGTCAAGTTCTCGTGAGTGATGTTGGAAATCGGCACCAGTCAAACGCTTTCATTTCTAGAGCTGCCTGACTACAAAGTGTTCCATTCAGACCAGTGTTATTAAGGTTCAGTGAATGCGCCACAGTCTCGCCTTTGAAATCCATATTAAATTGAATTAATTGTGTTTCATTCGGAGTGTGTGGATGTTGAAAGTTCTTAAAATGGAACAGAAGTGGGATGAAAGGGCATGAGATATGATGCGCAAGTATGGTGCTTCAGCGATATGTATGACAAAAATTTGCAAATAGTACACAGTGGTGCCTGGAGATTTTTTCTTTTTCTTTTTTTTTTTTTTAAAGGTGCTGTTATTAGCTTAATGCTAACAAAATGGAAAACATCAATGATGGGCTCATGATTAGCTTTGCTCGTCGTGGTGCTATCACCCTTCTTGGCAAGAGACATTTGAACACAAATGGTGGGGCAGGGCCTGTAGACAATATCACAATACTCATAGATTCTTTATCCTCTGCAAAAAAGACTAATGCAGTTTAGAGTCACTGGAAGTAGCGATGAACTTTATTCATTGATCTGAATAATGGGTATACAGTGGCCAAGGTGGACACACCAGAAGCAGCACATGACAATGATGATGTACGAGCTGTTTAATTCTTTATTATAACTTTCAGTCCTCTGTTTTATGAATTACAATATTTCTTCAAAAGCACTTTGCAAAAAGTCATTGACAAATTTCTCTGTAGTTTCTGCTTCCAGTGTAATTGTTCTTTTTGCTATGCTTGTTGTTGGTGTGTTCTTGCAGGTATTTAGCACTTTTATGACCGTTGATCTACCGCGGACCCCGATACTATAATTGAGGGGCCCCGAAGGTTAAATCCACATCCATGTGCCACTTCAGGGACATCTTTTTTTTGTATATGTTTGTTTTTATGCCGTGGCCACAGAGTGCATAGAAAGCACATCTGAGCGTCTAATCCGCCGTAATCCGTATACCTAAATACATTTAGATATCGAGCGGAGTATTTGAGGATTACGGCCAGCTGTGTGTCCTAAATTTGAGCGTAAACAGCGGGAGAGCGACCCTCCGGCCTTTCGGTCCTCCGATGCAAAGAGGGGGCGCTCTGTCTTCGGGCGGGAGGCGCGCGCCACGTCCGTTTAATCTGTTTGAAGAGTTTAGCCGCGACCTCCCTCCATCTGCTCGCATTATCTCAGTAATCCCGTCTCACCCCCTTCCTTTTTGACACCCACCCCCTCTCCTGTTATTCCCCCCCCGCCCCCCCATCCCCCATCCCTTCCTCTCATTTTCACTTTCACCACAGGGATTTAGTAGCATCCTGCTTTAACACAATAGCAGTAAATACTTTTTGTTTTGGTGAGTGAGAGGGTGAATGAGTGTGGGTGTGTGTAGCAGGCCAAACCACTCGATTAAATGCCCCGACTGATGACCTTTCGGCCATCCTCACTCTTAAAGCAGAAGTGAGCTTTGACTACGTACTCACGCACCGCTCGAGCTGGCATGCGCCACATGAGTCCCATTTCAAGTTAGCATGAGCTTAAGGTCGCGCACAACGTTAGCACACTTACAATTTGAAATTGCAGAGGTGCAATGACATGCGATGGAGACATGCCAGCACGGAACATGGAAGCGCAGCGTGCAGCGAGACCGAGCCACGGCGTATGGAAGTATCCGCGGCCAGCTGGGGACACACGGACGTGGCGCCCCACCTTGGTCCTATCTATGACAACTGAGATGAACGTCATGCTCATCGAAAGCCAGGCATAGCTCGAAATATATTTTTATCCTCCACATTTTTAAAACACATCACTTTTTTTTTTTGTCTTCAAGGACAGTAATGCGGTGAGCTCTCACTGTGTCTGATTCCCTGTTTTGACCCCAGATGCAGTGGAAAATGACGCGCGCACACCTGTGACAACCAGCTGCAATCTCGTTGGTCCGCTGCTTGACCTTTTCCAATTCCTGTCAAGTGAGCCGTTGCAAATGTCTCCACCGCTGTTAAAGGCCACACAAGTGGTTGAGGAGGAAGAAGAAAAGACAGAGCGAGAAACGGTGTGGGCGTTATATTTTGGGGTGGCTGCGACATCTCTGTGGGGATGACAGGCTAAAAAATGCACATCTGCTTAGCGAACGCACTTGCTGAGGCGTTGTGGATTTTGAGCGTATTTGGTTGCTTCAACTTCAAGGGCGGTAACTATACCGATAACCCGGTAGCCCATTTCTCGCTTGGTTTATGA